CCCATTAATACAACCTTTGATAAAAGCTGGAACAGTTCAAAGTTAACGACACATGATAGGCAAAAATGTATAACCCGCTAACTATTTATTTATAACTAAAATAAATTCTAACGCCAACTTTTATAGAACCTTCACCTCTTCATAAGATGCAGAAGATTCTTACTATACATTTTGCTCTCCCTTGCGGATAAGACGTTAGAATATTCCCGTGGTAGGGCATACCTGTCGTAAAAGTCGACTAAAATCCTGGTACTATGCCGACACTGTTCAAGAGTGTACATGATAGTCAGTGGCAGGGTACTCGCAACACTCGATCGGTGATGTAAATCTGGTACTACGGAGATTAGGTGCCCGCAGCTTCAGCTGTCCTGGCCAAGTGAGGTTGGCAGTGTCGTAGTGGTTGTCGTTAATACCCAAACTTTCACAAGAAAAATGATTGGTATTCATTTATCATCATCATCATAAAGATCAGCAGAGGAATTGGTACACCACGCTCCTTAACAAAGAGGAAGTTTTGTCAAAAATACATAAATTCTTTGGTACCGGCGGAAATTCATTAGAATTTTCAATAGGGTGTTTATGATCTCATTATATTCATACATGCGTTTGTAGAGCACCGTGGTCTTAAGGCTAAATGACAGATACCCACGCTAAACAGCACTGTTATTGCACATTTTGTTGGAAATCACTCTCTTTTCCTCTATCCAATTCTGCACATATCTAATATCATTGTTGATATCATTGTTTATAGGTACAATTTTAGCACGCTGATTCTAAAATTGTTAATGGTCAAAAAATTAATCAAATATAGTACATAATTTAAATAAAAAAAAATATAAATCAAAATTGAAATTCAAGTAAATGCAATGAGTAGAAACAATTGTTATTGCCCATTATGGTCAATATTCAGTAAATATCCAATATTTCTAAAATATGCACCAACCTATATATGTAGTAGTATTATATCTGTATCTGCTCCTATTTGAGAGATATGCGCAACGCCAAATAATTTAGAACGGCAAACTTGGTTCAGACCTAAAGATAAAAGTAATTCCTACTTCAAATTTTGTTAGATTCCTTTAAAATTTTGTTAGATATAGAGATATTGACTTCGTTTTTATGTTAATACAATTCAGATAACTAACTTTTAAAAATTCAACTCAACTCTAATGTAGTCATTTGAAATTAAACAGATTTTATTGGAATGACAAGATTGAATCTGGATTCCAACTTTATCCGTTTTCGTGTTTTAATCCATAGAAGACTGTTTAATGTCAGCATACTACTATTCCATTGTTTTAGGAATTAAGTTGTTGAGTTGATGAAAATAAACTTCTTTCTTTCTTTCTTGATATTTAAAAAGCAAGCTTATCCTCGGTAAATTACAAATTTTATAGATATTTGTTTCCTTTCATATAGAAGAAGATGTTAGAAAGTAAGAATATATTTTTCATTACTTCTATAATATTAAATATTAGAATATATATAAATACCACAATCAATAGAAGCTGCCAAACTGTGAAGTTAAGATAGCTCCTTAATAAAAATTGTATATGAAACAGATCAGTTATGCGTTATAATATGTATATATATATACTTTACTATATTTGAGTGTTCTAACTGGACTATAAGGTACATACTCATAACAATCTCTGAAAATATCATATATATTTAGACATATATATTAATATTGATTATTATAGATATACAGATATTAACAGATATATTGATATATTAATATTTTCACTTTTGAGTTGTGGGATTAATATTTTGTAATTTATTTTTATGATAGCAGAGATAACCATATATATTATATTAGGTATATTGAATTTTGTAAGTAAAAGTAAAGAAAATTTTTCTGTCATATATGTTATATATCTTATAAAAATTATATTTACAAAAACGATTATATAGATTATTTTATCATCTATGAATAATGTGAATTGTCATTATATTAAGGTATTTTTTTAAACAAAATTTAAATATTGTACAATGTTAGATTTTTGCCATTTATTAAAAAATATACTAAAATTTCCAATGACGAACAAAAAAATAAACAAATCGTAATAAAATTATGACTTTCTTTTTATGAAATAAAAATATTTATATAGCTTCGAAGTTTTAAATCTACTGTTAAAAACTAAATAGTACTCCGGAAACTTAAGATCAATGTTGCTCTATTTAAACGTTTATACTGATTTCGTCCATTTCTAACATCAAAGCAAATCTTCACTTTAATCCAATCAGTCCTAAGTTTAAAAGTACTATTGACGAGTCTTCTTATATTTACACATTTATACTGATTTTGAGTATTTCTAACGTTAAACCAAATCTTTATTTTCTTCCACCTCTCCCAAACTACAAAACATTCCTTAAAATATTTAAAGGAATTATCGTAAATTATTTAAAAGTTAACATATTTTTAATTTTGTGAAACAATTTTATGTTTATTTATTTTTCGCATATCAAATCCCACACTAAGTCATATATAATGACTAAAATAAATATTTTACAGTACAAATACACCTGTATTTGAAAAATGTATTTATATTTATTTTGTTATATATAATAACATACACGGGATACAAACCTATATACGTTTTTAAACGGAGCTCCACATAACAACTCATATCCTGTGAGCTTGTTTATTTCTATTGCATTTGAAGTGTATGAAATATCAACAAAATTTTTCATTTCGTTTTTCCATTTGTTCCATGCCTCAGGCACTTAATCACCTGCCATACAAAATATACAGAGTAATAACAGCAACAACAACAACAGGAACTAAATTGCTGTTAGCAATTTTCAGTATTGTTTACTTAAAGGTATTAAACTTTTTTCCACATGCTTAGTTTTAAATTGCAGTCGTCATTGACAAGGACAACCTCACAGAATTTTAGTAATTTTTCACGTGTGAAAAACATTTCACAAATTTCGAATTTAATTTATGTATTATTAAGAAATATTTGCCAAAGTAAAATACATAATAAATTAAAAACATTATATAAATAAATTCCATATAATACATACATAGAATAGTTAGTTACTTGAGACTTCCTTAAGACTATATAAAAAGTTATACAATTTTTGTATCGAAAATTTTATATGATAATAATAATAATAACAATAATATAATAATAAGAGATGTGACTCCTCGGGGACTGCCACCTTGACGTAGTGAGAAAGCTCAGTAGTTACGTAGAATCTTCGAGCGATCACGGCGGTAGCATGCTGCTGGTAGGGGCTCCCTTGCCGGTAAAGTCGAATGAGGAGTAATGAAGATAAGCGCAGTCCACAATATAGCGTCGGTACTCTTAATGAGCGGCTGCAAAAGAAGTATGTTCTTCAGGTAAGGAGCAGCCTATTTGTAAGTGACCTGTTACTACGTGCAAAGCTTACGCGACTGACATTGGGCTTGTACCCCATCGTCAGAGTTTTGCTCCCTTCTTTAACTATTTTCTAGAAATATAAATTATGTAATAAAATATGAGTCTAAACCCGATGGAATTACAATCTTCAAGTGGTACCCGTAGTTTTACGGCGAATCCACCTGCTTCGGCAGCACGCACAACGGATTTGGAGGTGTAAAACTCACGTTTAAACAGAATCTTTTCGTTAGGTATAACTAGTATGACCAGTTGAGGTTGGATTCGTAGTGGCTGAGTGGCTGATGGTTAATACCCAAACTTACACGGGAAAAATGTTCAGTTTTGATTCACATTCGGCGTAGAGTTCCTTATTCACCACCGGGTGCTTCAGCCCAAATTGTAGCAGAAGTTTAAAATGAGCCTCGCATTTTACCAAGATGTAAGATATGACTTACACAAATTTCTTCATTGGTACCGGCGGAAGTACTAAGGTAATTACAATAGGGCGTTTATCGGCGCATTATCTTCATACATGTGTTTCGAACACCGTGGTGTTAAGCGTTTACGGTAGGTAATCACGTTAAAAATTCTGGACTTCTGTAACCACCAGGCCCAATGTTGTAAACACAATGGAATGAAGAAGATAAGAGATGTGAACAAAAAGTGATAAAAAACTATTTAGTCTTCCATATGTTGGCTTTCTCACAACCAAAGTTTATTGTTAATGATACTATTCAATATTATATTAATCTTAACTGGGTTTTAATATTGCACAAAATACAATATATATTCGATAAGTGTTAGAATTAAACTGTTTAATTTGATTATTGATATCGAACAATGCACTTGAATTAATAATCTTAATTCTGGAATTGTGAAACTAATTGTAAAAATTGAATAAAATTTAAAAATTATTTAAAACTTAAAAAATTATTTTATAAAACTATGTAAAATTTTAAATTATGTTTAGGACGATTTAAGTAATAAATAATAAAAAATTATAATAAATATGGTGCGATTTCGAAAAGTAATGCAGTACTCAAAGCAATGTTGCATGGTCAGCCAAATTTTAATAAATTAACTAAAATTTTTGTTGTTCTCTTTTCATTCCTATTTGAATATCAGAATTTGTTTTTTATATTTCATCACTCATAACTAAAACGTTAATCCCATATAAAAATTAAGCACATCGTAATATACTACAAATAAAACGCGCTTAATATTAGTTTTACAGTTATATCAAGGCTAGCATGCTAGCTTTTTTTATATTACTCGCGCTTCCATCTGAATATCTAACTTTTCCAATATGTGGCACCGCCATAAATAAAATATATTGCGCACAATTTGAAAACTCTTGTTATATATTAATCACATCCTTATTCATTAAGGCGATACTTATACCATAGCTATTATTTTAAAATATTTATTCAAGACAATTTACATAAATAACATTTTTGTTAAATTTTTGTTATAAGATTTATTATTATTATTATTACATTAAATTTTGTTTATCACCAAAAAATCCTTTCAACAAATACGTTGATCGTGGGTCCTTACTTTTTCCTTAATTCATTACTTAAACAGAACATTTGCCTCTACTATAACAATCCAAAAATATTTATTTAATAAAAGCATAATATTTAATATGTAAAATAATATCAGTTAAGGCAAAATATTTACCAAAAAACTATTCCCGTTCCTTAAGCAACATATATAGGTCTTCACCAGCAGTCACGCCACTGAATATATTCGAATCTCCTTTTAAGCTAAGAAAAAGTCTTCCAAATTCAGCACTTAAAATTGTTGTAGAATTCTCAGGTGTGTGAACAACATGAATGGTACCACATTTAACAGAATCATAATCACATTCATATGAACCGCATACATTTATAGTTTTGGCTAATGTAAACCAAAACGTCTCTCCTAAGTGCACATAATGCTTCATGCAAGAGGCGACATTAAAAGTCATGGATATTCCTAATCGATTTGATTCACATGTAACACAAAAGGTATCTGGTGTTATTTCTTCAATTTCTTTTACTTGGAAAAAATCTTTAAACAACATTTTGACTACAATAGAAAACATGATTAATAACACATATGTTACATTCAAATAATATCAAATTACATATTTAAAGCAATAAGTTACAAATATTTGTTTACCCAATAAAAACCGAAACACAACCCGAAATATACATATTGAATATTATTCAATCTGTCATACAGATTATAGTTCGATTATAAAAATAAGTATGACATACTACGATAACTTTGAAACCAGAATATAGCAAGAATATTTCAAGCTATGGTGAACTATTCTCCAACCAAAGAATTGATTTACAAAATTGTATTATAAGTGAATATAAGCTCAGTCTTATAATCCAGTCTGAAAAGGCTCTGAAATTGCTTGCCTCACATAAAGAAACAATAACGTACCATTATTATTCTACATTAATTTAACTTCTCGATTCTATTTTAGGTTAACTTCACCTTCCATTTATCGAATTTTCTTTTCCTCATTCTTATTAAAACAAATATCACCTACAAGATCAAATATAAACTAGAATGTTAATTATTTTATAACAACAATCACGAAGCGGAGTTCAATGTTCTTTTATCACGTTCAGTTTTTTATACTCAGAAAGTGTGTCCAAAAATGCTACAGCTTTACATATAGTTGCTTTTCAACATGATCGAATTAACCCATTTTATAGATAAGATTACAAAAAATAACGTACCAGGTCTCATAAATGTAGATAACATATTACCTTATCAAGAATATCAAAAAGTATATTTACATATTTTTCTACTACTTCGATAGACTTTGGTAAATACTGATCTACCTGCCTACTATATGTCACCAACAAAGTAGGCAGTTCGAGCATAGGGATGCCTAACCGAATGACATTAATTTACAAGATCCGACTCTGGTCTTAGTTCCGATAATAGCGATGGTGACTATTATATGTAAAAAACAATATGTAAAAAACAGTATTAGTACTTCAAATTATATCGAAAAACGCAAAGAATATGCATAACTTTTTTCTCATCTTCGAGGCATAATCTGCATTCCAAATTAGCAGATAATTGAAGTTTATATAGGTGATATTTCAGACCATAATGAGCCGTAATGAAACCCGTTGGCAGCCTTAAATTACCTTTTGAGAATTTAAAAATGTTTTTGTAAGAGTATGGTCACAAACAATCCTCGCTCTCCTTCATTAGGGCATTGAGGGCATGTAAAGCAATTTTTGATGTGGTTTTGACTTGCTCATTACGCAAAAACCCCCTGTGACCGGGAACCCAATAAAGACTTACCTTATTCAGAACTGCAAGTACCTGTAAGAGCTAATAAATTTGTTTACTTGATTGTAAATAATTTATTTTAAAACATTGCTCTGTTTAAATGTATCGATATAATCTAATATTGAAAAAACTAAACTCTAAAAGTAAAACTATATGGTCTAGCACCTCCGTCATAAATTTTCATAATTAAAAAAAAACATTGCTATAAATTTAATGCTAAATTTCACTTAAATATTTTCAATTAAAGTTCACTTGCAAAGCTTTTTTAAAAGTATTTTTATGTTTTTATTAAGAAGCGAGTTAATCTACAAACTAATATCTTAAAAAGTAATTAAAAAATGTTTAGTTTATTTTGTTTCATTAATTTTTCCTACAATTTTATGAGAAATATCGAGTGCACTGATTGAAAATGTGTCTACAAGTTTGATAAGCCAAGTTTCCCTGGGTCGGCTAACAACGCTCTCTACTGAATGCTGGCAGGATAATGGATTATTTATAATAGATTTTATGTTTGAAAAAGTTAGATTTTTTTTCATTTAAGTTAACTTTTTACAATGTAAAAGTTATTCCATTGAAAATAGCTTCGATAGAAGTAATCAATATATGCAAAGTAATTTCCTTACTGCTAGTTTTGCGCACACTTATCTACCTGACTATATTTGCGAGTATACGAATATATGTCAGTGTATCTGTCAACTTCAACGTAAATGTTATGGACTAGTGTTACAGACTGTCAGATATCGCAGTTGGTTTGATAGGCGAGCGAAATGAAATGCAACTTTAACTACTAAACTTATCGTTGTACAATGTTCCATGTATACCTACTGTGGAAAATAAAAAAAATAACTTCTCAAACTTTCCACCAACAACACTTGGCAATTACTTTTTGTTATCTGCATTTACATTCAATTTTATTTTCATATACAATACTATATTTCTGTGGACCAAACTGAGCCAATACTGAAAAATACTGCTGACAGCAGATACTTCCCAATTACTTTGTGTGCAGATAATTTTTTTCTTTTAGTTTCCAACAATAATATCCGTAAATATAAAATAAAGTTTTGTGATATATGCTCTTACGTGTATTGTAGGTAACTTTGGACAGTTTCACCATTGGACGTTTTACATCATATCTGCACGATGGCTGCCCGGATGGATACATGCAAATTGCTGAGTCGGCTCGTACGCCCATTGGCGGTATGTGGTGTGGCACCTCATGGGGACCAGTTTTATTTTACAGTGAAACGCGATCACTGATTTTCACAATTAAATTAAACAAGTAAGTTGTTTTTTAGTCCACCTGAATGCTACACTACATTCATGGCAATCATGTAAAAGCAAGAACAGTTGTTTTTAACTGTATTGTGGGTTTAAGTATAAGATACAAATGAAAAAAAGGTTTATACAGTTTTGTTAAAACAACTTCAACTTTTCCATAGCCATGAGAAATATAGTATTTTCAAAGTTTATACGAGTTTGACCCATATTAAGTAGTTGAAGCCAACTGAAATACTTCTAAATAATTATATTTATATCATATTTGCCTGACGTCCTTTTTTTGCTAAGAAAATTTAATATTTTACTCTCTCATTGCAACAGGTTAGCAAGGGATCAAAGCGGTTACAATTTCGATTTTCGCATCAGATATAAGGTTTTATCTCGTGACAGTTCGGTTACTCGTTACGGTGGCATCAAACTCGAAGGTAAGTGCTATCTAAAATTAAAATGAAAAAATAAAATAGACATTAAGAGAAAATAAAAAACTTATTTTTACTTCATTCTTACATAATTTTATTACTCATTTAACATTTAAGAAAGTTTTCCTTTTCTGTTGAACAATATTAAAGAAGAAGAAAAAAGTATTAAAAAAAAAATAAAAAACATATTTAAGATTTTGTTATAATGATAATAAAGTAAAAGTAAATAACTATTTTCAAAATAATTAAAATCAAAAAGTTATAATTTAATTAATTATTAAATTATTTAAATAGTAATAATTTAATCTTTGAAAAAATTAAGGTACTGTTATAATAATAAAATAAAAAATACGTTTTTTCGAAATAATCAAAATCAGAAAATCATCATTAATAAGAAATAAACTTTAAAATCTATTAATGTGTAATAGAGTATTTTTTTTAAAAGATAGATTTTTAATGAGAAATTGAAAATAATCAAAAACTTAACCCTTTTTGGATTGATAACGTGTTTCGGAAGACGATAAGTTCATATAAGATTCATCTAAAATAAAACATTTCATTCAATTGATGCTTAACCAATTATAGACATTGGTTATGCACCAATTGTGGTAATTAGTTTTGTATAAACATATTTTTAATTATTAAATGAAGTAACTATAGTACCAGACTTAAAACTAACAGATTTTAAAAATCAAGTAGTAGTTTTTTGCACAGTGGTATCCTCTAGCAGTAGAAATCAGTATTAACCTGTAATCAATGGCAAATATAAATGCTTCACAGTATAGTTACAAGCTAGGGAAACCATTTCGAAAGGCAGATAAGTGTAACCAATACACGATATACATACCAATATATATAGCGGGGTATAATATAAATACATGATATTATGTCGAAGAGAAGTTCGATTCGGTTACCATAATCGAGTCGTATATATACTATATTCGATTTAGTATATTCGATTGTATAATCATGTATAATTATATTCAAGACAAGAGCTTTGAATTTAAAGCTGAAGTTACTTTTAATCATAGTAAGTAAAAATATCAACTAAAGTTTTTGTAGCATACCCAAGACAGATCTCAACAATTTTATAAAATACCAAACAACAAACACAACCTGAATGCTATGTTATATCCTATTAGCAATCATAAAAGACTGCAATCCTAAAGCAATCCTCTGTCTAATTCTAAAGAAGTATACATATTGGTATCAATAAGCATCGTTTAGATCATAAAATTATATAATTATTTTGGTAACTGATATTCTTTAGATATACACTTAAAAAAAGAAAATACACTTAAAAAAACTATATAATATTTCTAATAAAACTTAATACCTGATATCTGAGTTATACCTGATATTAAAATATATCGAAATTAATAAAAATTATATATAATAATCTTTATAGATGTAAATTTGCTAATAAGTTGTTAAAATAATCCAAGGCAAAATTTAATTTGTGAAAGTACAAATTTGTATTAATAACAAATAAGATTTAAAACTAATAATTTAATTTATTATTTAATATATATACTATATTTATATATTAAATTATGTTTGCATCTATTAAAAATTACTTTGGTCTAGTGTAGAACTGAATACTAGATGAGCAGTAGATATCGGCTCTTCAAATTTATTATAAAGAAATAATTTTGAAAATAATATTAAAATTATTTGTTTAAATATAATACAGTTCTATATTATAAATAACGACTAATTGATGATTGACTGTATTTATTGTTATGTTAATATAGTAATTAACAGAACTTGCGAATTAACAGAATTCGGAACACTTACTATTCCTACTATTTTCAGCTACTTTCATAACAGTTTCGTGGTGTTGCCACATTTTAATGCTAAATAATTACCACATTAGATGACACGTAAAATATATAATATATATAATAAGAAAAAGTACTCTTTCATAGTACTATATAAACTATTTGCAAGTAACTGATTGACCCGCGTCTATGACAAATCATTAAGAAAATACTCGAAAGTTATTTACAACTAAATTTTGCTATGTTTCCATTCACTTTGTAGTGTTTAATTAAATAAATATATAAAAAAAAATTAGAAACATGGAAAACATTTTTTACTCTTGAATAGCCACAAAAAATATAATAAATCAAAATATATAAACAAAAAGATAAAGTCAAGATAAAACAAAACTGAAAACTCAACCCTTTAAAACTTAAAATCCAACCCAATAAACCGTCTGAAAGGACGATTAAAATGCAATGATGATTAAATTTTATTGCTTCATTTTGTGGGGATGAAGAAATTTTGTGATGCTTCCATTTGCATTTGTTGAAGGATTGAAATTATTTTTATAGAATTTTTTATTTCTTCATTTTAGAATTGAATCAATGGTACAACCGCAGCAATTACCTTAATCAAAATGCAATTGAGGATTTTACGAATTCAAGTGGTGCACATTCCGATCGTTACGGGCAGGACTTCAGTTTGTTTAGTCAATATGCCAATAATAAAACTTTTGTAAATTCCTTACAAAAACTTGTGGCAAAGGATGAAAATAATTACACAGAACCACGTTATTATTTGGGTAAGTCATTTAATTATCTCATCTTTTCGTAATTATATTTGAACACTTTTAAAACTAATATAATTATGTTATTAATGAATTCATTTTATTTATGTTAAAGTGATTTTATGTATAAGATATATATCTTGAATTAACTAACACAAATAATTATATTTTTTTTTAGGTGACTTGATACCAGGCACGTATTGTTCACGAATTTTTAGTGACTGTGACAAAAAATCTTGCCGTTTGCAGTCTCCCAATTATCCTGGTATCTATCCAAGGAATCTAACATGTTACTTTGCAGTCAGACAGGTATTGTAGTTTTTAAAAAAGCAAAAGTATTTATTTAATTGAAGTGTTAAAATATATGAAGCAGTCATAAAAATAGGCTCCATTTATAAAAACATGCAATAGAAAAACTAGACAAGAATATGTAATTTATACATAACTATACATCCCCTTCAATTAGTAAAAAATACCAAAAATTCTTATTTTTTATTTTGTTTAAGAAATAGGTAGCACTAATGAAGTTTTTTTGTTCCATTAACCCACTTTTCTTTAAGAAACATTTACTTCGTATGCGCAATCATGGTTATCCCGACTATTTTTTTTCTACAGGATGATTTTAAGAGATCTCATAGAAATCCACCAATTGAGAATAAATAGCGAAGTCGTGGAAAGGAGATCTAATACTGAAATGTTTATATATTTATTTGAAGAAAGTTTTTTGAAAGACCAAAATACATATCGCTGAAAATAAGAACTAAATACTAATCCTTTAAAAGTTCGATTTTTTAAATTTAATCCGTTATTATCAAAAGAAAAATGGGTACAAGCAGTGTCAAATTACTCTAAAACTATTTTAAAATCCAAAAAAGGAAAGAGGACTTCAATTTAAACTTCATTTAAAGTTATTAAATAATTTATATTAAATTTATTGCATATATACTTTCAATTAAGCACATAAAGCACTTTATAGAAATCTATAAAAAATATTAGAAATATCATATTAAATTAATTTAACAGAATTCTTGACAATAACAAAAGAAAAACATACACAATAATATAATCAATATTAAACTTTACGAAATCAAAATTCTACTTGGTGTTATCGTATTAGGTTAATTAGACGTTCCTTGCCAACAACAAAATTCCTCTTTAGTTATGTACTTATTCCTACCACCTTTTTTTGTTGCCATATATGGGTCATTCTTTTACAAATCAAACCCTTTCCGACCTCATCACCTCTGATTTGACTGAAGTTTTTTGTACGGGCTCCCTTTATAAAATAAGAAGAACCATATCTCAGAAAAACATTTACGAATTTTTTTCCTTGGAGATATGAACCAATGGACTTTTGAAAATTGGTATTGTAGACATATTTTTAAAAGCCCATATCTCAGGCTCCGCAAAACACATCAAAAGCACATGCGTACTAAATTTTCAATAAATGAATTTTCAAAGAATCTGCTACATAAAGTTTTATATATTATTTTTGATTTCGATTTGTAATA